TGCCCTGACCAGGAATCAAACCCGATCCCCTGGATCCTTGGTCGATGCTCAACCGCTGAGCCACAGCTTGGCTCAAGTTTTATTCTTAATTGAGCTTATTTAACATATCAAATATAAAACGGTTTTCCATGTAAAAAGGCTGTATATGCAACAGATTTAAAAATATAGATAAGTAACAAATAGTTACTCATACCCATTGAAATGCAGGCTATCTTTGGGTCTTGAGGGGAACAGTGGATAAACTAAATAAATCCTAATTCCTCATAATAGAACGTGTACAAAATTGGCAGATTCCCCGATTTTTAAGGGACTGGAATGAATCTGCAATCAGCGGTGCCACCAGCCTGAGCGATTTAGAATTCGTCATTACAGACCTTCATTACCGTGTTTCAATATGCAGCAGAAATATTCCGAGCATGACGTAGGAAAGAATCAAATTAAAAAGTCCCATACCCTTAATTTCCTTGCTGGTTCTTTCTGTGTTGCCTCTCTAATTACACGAAATCCAATCGCTTAAGTCAACGCCATGATGTTAGAAGCTCTGATGAGATGGGCCCCTGTGGGCGGGGGGTGGATACATTGTATCTCCCGGGGAGGCCGCGCTCGGGCCTCTGCGCAGGCGCATCAGCGGCACCGCCGGGGCCCCAGCCCGTCCTCCGCCCTCACCCGGCTCCTCTCGCGGATAAACGGCCTCAGATGCTTCGGGTCGCGAACGGCTACGTCCACGGAGAATCTCTTCCAGCTTTTACTTCACCTTTTCCTGGGGGCTTCATGAAATAAACCGGTAGAAATGCGGTTTGTTCATGGCGAGGGCTCTTTCCTTATTTATTTTTAGTCCTTGCATAAGACGATGTGGTTAAAAAGAGTTTTGAAAGTAGAGCTGAGTTTCAATACGCTACTAAGTAGCTGTGGGGTCTTTGGCAAATTAAATTCTCTGTCCCTCAGGTGTCGTATTTAAAAAACAAAAAAAAAGCCCGGCCGGGCGTGGCTCAGCGGTTGAGCGTAGGCCTAGGATCCAGGAGGTCGAGGTTCGATTCCCAGTCAGGACACATGCCTGGGTTGTGGGTTCGATCCCCAGTCGGGGGCGTGCAGGAGGCAGCCGATCCCTGACTTTCTCATCATTGATGTTTCTATCTTTCTCTCTCTCTCCCTTCCTCTCTCTGAAATCAATAAAGGTATATATTAACAATAATAATAATAATAATAAAGCAAAAGAAAAAATAGTTGAACCAACACCCAGCCCAACTCATTTTATGGATTATAAACCTATATGCCTATAACATAAAAATGAATAGATTAATGACTTCAATTTTCATAAGCAATTTTTAACTTTATTTCTATTGTTGACACTATTACAGGTATCTTCCAACCCCCCTCCCAATTTCCCAGCTCCTCCCGGCCCCACCCCTGTGGCCATCACCACACTGTTGTTGTCTGTGTCTGTGGGTTGTGCATATATGTCCTTTGGCTAATTCCTTCACCTTCCTTCATCTAGTCCCCCTACCCCTCCCCCCAACATCGGTCAGTCTGTTTCCTGAACGTCTGCCTCTGTTTCTATTTTGTTTATCAGTTTATTTTGTTCACTAGATCCCACATATAAGTGAGATCTTATGGTACTTGTCTTTCTCTGCCTGGCTTATTTCACTTAGCATAATATTCTCCAGATCCTTCCATACTGTCCCAAAGGGTACGAGATCCTTCTTTACAGCTGCGTAGTATTCCATGGTGTAAATGTCCCACAGCTTTTCATCATCTACTGATGGGCACTTGGGCTGCTTCCAGATCTTGGCTATTGTAAATTGTGCTGCTATGAACATCGGGGTGCATATATCCTTTCTGATTAGTGTCTCAGGATTCCTCGGATACATTCCTAGGAGTGGAGTCACTGGGTCAAATGGCAGCTCCATTTTTAATTCTTTGAGGACCCTCCACACTGTTTTCCACAGTGGCTGCCCCCGTCTGCGTTCCCGCCAGCAGTGCACCAGGTTCCCCTGCCCCACACCCTCGCCAGCATGTGTTGTTTGTTGACTTGTTGATGGAGCCATTCTGACGGGTGTGAGGTGACACCTCACTGTGGTTTTAATTTGCATCTCTGACGATTAGTGACGTTGGGCATCTTTTCATATGTCTTGGCATCTGTGTTTCCTCTTTGGAGAAGTGTCTGTTCAGGTCCTTTGCCCATGTTTTAATTGGATTGTTTGTCTTCCTGGTGTTGGGTTGTATAATTTCTTTATATATTTTGGGAATTAACCCCTTATCAGATGTGTCATTGACAAGTATGTTTGCCACACAGTGGGCTCCCTTTTGGTTCTGAGGATGGTTTACTTTGCTGTGCAGAAGCTTTTTATCTTGAGGCAGCCCCATTTGTGTATTTTTTCCTTGTTTCCCTTGCCCTAGAAGATATATTGGCAAAAATCTTGCTATGAGAGATGTCTGAGGCTTTACTGCCTGTGTCTTCTTCTAGGGGTTTTATGGTTTCCTGACCTACATGTAAGACTTTTACCCATTTTGAGTTGATTCTTGTGTGTGGTGTGGGTTGGTGGTCTAGTTTCATTTTTTCGAATGTACCTGTCCACTGTCACCCTCTTAGTCGTCCCAGTACCGGAAGCCCTGGCCACAGCGATCAGACAAGAAGAGATAAAAGGCACCCAAACTGGAAGGAGGAGGTGAAACTGTCGTTATCTGCAGATGACATGATACTATCTAGAGAAAACCCCCAAGACTCCACCAAAAAATGACTGGATCTAACAAATGAATTCAGGAAACTAGCAGGAAACAAAATTAATATCCGGAAACCATTGGCATTTTTACACACTAATAGTCAACTCTCAGAAAGAGAAATTGAGAAAACAATCCTGTTTATTGTTGCAACAACAACAAATAACAAAAGGTACCGAGGAATACGTTTAACCAAAATGGTAAAAGGCCTGTACTGGGAAGACCATAGGACTTCGAAGGAGCCTGAGGAAGCGGCAGCCAGTACGTCTTGGATACCAACAGTGTCAGTCTTTTTTTCATGGGGCATACGGAGTGAGCCAGACAAATGAGAGAAAGCACTCAGAACGCCCCAAACGCATTAAAGCAGAGTCTATAAGCTGCAGTTGGTCTCCATTGGTCTTATTTCAAATATAAGAAGATAACCTAAGTCTTACTGTTACTTCTTGGTCTAGGAGGGCCAAAGAGTGGGCGTGGTCACAACCGAGAAACTCTGGAACTGAGCGGCTTGTCACAAAATGTCATCGTTTTTCCTCTAACTGCAGTTCAACAGGTCATTATAATTGCAAACATAATTATAAACATAATCACATCCACTACATTATAATTGTCAACATAATATCTTAATTATAAACACAATCACCGTCACTGTAAACACAATTACTCCTATATTCACATGCGGTGGTGGACTATGTTTGCCGAGTCAGTAGCTCAACGTTATCCTAGATTTTGAAGTTAAATATATTTATGGGCTGTCATCATTCATAACACCTCACTCATGCGTGGAGTAATATAATTCTGAATTTTCTGTCTTACCCACCCCAGGTGGGGGAGAGGGCCAATGTCCCCAAACAGCTCATGCCCAAGACACTCTACAAATGAATGGTTCTGAACAGGGAATGATTTTGCCTCTAGAGGACATGTGGTGAGGTTTGGAAACATATTTCACTGTCACAACTGGTGGTGGCGCTCCTGACATCTAGTGGGAAAGGCCAGGGATGCCCCTGGACGGTGGTCGACGCAAAGGCAGCCCCATCCTAACAGCCGTCGGCAGCCCAGGGGATACTAGGGCCAAGGATGTGGGAACTGAGAGGGGTGAAGGCCTGGTCAAAGGTCAGGGACCAGGCAGAATGGTGACGAATGATGAACGACCGTGACCAAAATCAAGTGCAGGAAGGAACCACGAACCAGGTGACGACCAGGAAACCAAGGACGACCGTCCAGTTAGTCTCAGTTCTTCTCATATTCAGATGTAGGTTAGACTTTCACTCAGTGACGTCTGGATCGGGCCTGATATAGCAATTAATGTTCTGATCAAAGTAAGTACAAGAAAGTATATTGAACTTAATTCATGAAGATTCCGTGGTTTCGTTGATCATGTCACCATTTATTACTATGTTGGCTTATTTAAAGCCAGTAAATACCCTGGGCATGGAAGCTACGGGGTCAAATCTCCCACCGCGGGGGGTGTACTCGACCCACAGCCCCGGCTGCCAGTCTCTGCCCATGTACCCCAAGGTCACGCTCCGCCCTGTTCTCGGCCAGTGGCTGAGCTTGGCTGGGACACTCAGGAAGGCCCGTCTCTGTGACGCGGGAATTCCTTCAATGAGCAGCTTCTGGGCCGATCTCCCTCCCTCCCGCCCTCCCAGTTCAGACCTGCTTCGTGGTCTGACGGTTCTCCCAGATTTCTCCAGCTATCGCCCCATCTCCTCTGACCTGTGTTTTCACCAGCAAATCTCCTTCATGTCCAATCCAATCTGGCAGCCGTCTCTCAAAGGACCTCAGCTAACGCATTAGATCAGCAAGATTTATTTTCTATACGAGGTGGCAACCTAGTCGTCCTATCGTCAGTAATGAGTTTTACGTGACTTCCTCGCGCCGTTTGAAGGCCCCGTTGTTTGGTTCCCACTGAAACGTGCTTCTTCTGTCCCCACCCTGCCCTTGCTACGTGACGGTGAGTGAGAACCGGGTCCTGGGCCTCCCCGAGGGCAGGGACTCCAGGTCTTTCCTCAGCACGACGCCTCCTCTGCAACCAGAGCTCGATACCTACCATCCCAAAGCACTTAGATAACAAGAGCATCTACGGGGGGATAGAAATCTCTTAGGACCTAAGATACGCCGCGGATTTAAATTCTCCTCTAAAGCGCCTGTTTCCCATCCAGCAAAATATCAACAAAACACATGAAACTAAGAAAACAAAGACATGTTTTCCTACTGACGACAGCTGAAGGCGCAGCATCCCTTCACCAAATGGAGCCTATGTACAAAAACAGAAAATGCCACCGTTCATCCCAGAGACATAAATTTATTTGGATGCCATATCCATTTGAAATACAGTGATGTGAAAGCACCCGAGGAGAAGAATCAGAGGGAAACCTTAGAAGGGAAGCGACAGAAGGGACTCTGAGCATCGGCATAAGGATGGAAATCAGATCCATCTCCTAGGTCTGGCTAGAGAAGGTCACAGGCGCGGTCCCTTGTCCACAATGAGTCAGAGGCTCCCAGGAGGCTGTGGCGGCGAGTCCTGGCCAGGCAGGCGGTCAGCAGTTGCAGATACTGGACAGGATGCACGTTCAGGTTGCAGAGATCGCAGATATCACTGTGAGAGAACCGAGGATATTCAGTAATTTTGTCCAAAACAGCGAGAGCTGCTTGCCGGCTGGAAGCAAGAGGACTGGTAGCTTCTGGAAGAAAGGTAAGTTGGGCGGGAGAAGCCGGGCCCACAGCCCAGAGACTGGGCTCGGGAGCTCCCGTAACCAAAGGGCGCCAGGCCAGCGTTGCCACATCCTAAGGATCCCGGGTAGTTTGACTGGCAGGGACTGCAGACCGTGGAGGTCCTCGGGCCGTAGCAGGACGTCTGGCAGCCGCTGGGCTCGTAGCAGGTCTCCTGGCAGCCGCCGTAGACGGGGGAGCCCTGCGGGCAGGTGCCCGGAGAGTAGACGACGTGGCCTGGGTAGAAGGAGCCGCAGGAGGAGCCTGGATAGCGCAGGGCGCCCCCGAGGGAGCGGGAGGAGAGGTTTCCGGAGCAGTAGCTGTGGGACATGTTGTGGGAGTTCTGAGCTCGGCTGAGGTGCAGAGAGGAGTCCGGGACCGTGAGCATCACCTTCTGCGCCCGACGCTTTTATACCGTCGCCAAGGGAGTCCCAGCAGGGGCCCCTTTTAATGAGAAGGCTTCCCGAGGCTCCAGCCAAGATGAAACGCGGGGACCTTCAAAGGCCTTCCTCATGAATGCAGACTTTTAATGAAGGAATTTCATGAGTTTTTCAAAGCAATTATTCGTGAGGCACACACTCCGTCCTCATTTGTCCGGCTTGGCCCGAGGAGTGTAATTGTGCCGTAATTGTGCCCCTGGCCCTGGAGCTTCATTCACCCTCTTTGAATAGATGGCAGCGAATGGGCAACGTGCTGATAATTGTGCTGTGTTTAAAGCTCTGAAGGTACTTTGTAGTCTGCAGGGGGCATTTAATTTGCGCCAGCTCAGGAGCCCACGTCAGGAAGAGAAAAAATAATCCTCAGTGTCTGTTTCGTCTTCCCAATCTGTGGACCCGATAGAAAAATAACCCAGGAACAACCCTGTAGAAAAACAACCCAGTAACAACCCGATTGGTAGAAAAGCTAAATGAGAGTCTAAGAAATTTGGATTTTAGTTTTCTTATAGCACATGTGCCCCGGCCACTGGTGTGTACTTGGATTTATTTTTATTATTATTATTTTTGGCAATTAAGGTTTACATTAAATATATTTTGTATTCGTTTCAGGTGTACAGCATAGTGGCTGGACAGTCATGTCCTTTACAAGGTGACCCCCCGATATCCCCTGTGCCCGCCGGGCCCCGTTCAGTTATTACAGTATCACCGGCTGTGCTCCCTGTGCTGAGCGTTACGTCCCCGGGGCTGTCCCGTCACCGCCAGCCTGAGCTTCTCAATCCCTTCGCCCCTTTCACCCGGCCCCCCACCCCCCCTCTGGCAGCCATCGGCCTGTTCTCAGCCTGTGAGCCTGTTTCTGTTCTGCTTCTTGATTTATTTTGCTCTTTAGATTCCAAGTGCAATCCTGTGGCATTTGTCTTTCTCAGATGGAATCATTTCACTGAGCGTAATTATCACCCTCTAGGTCCGTTCATGGTGTTGCAAACGGTGAGATTTCATTCTTTTTCACGGCCAAGCCACGCTCCATCGCATCTCTATGCACCACGGCTTTTCACCCACTTGTTTCCTGACGGGCACTTGGGTGGCCTCCAGCCTTGGCTGTTGTAAATGACGCTGCGGTGAACATGGGGGTGCACATGCCTTTTTCAACCAGTGTTTCGGATTTCTTCAGGTATGTACCCAGAAGTGGAATTGCGCGGTCATGAGATAGTCCTGTTTTTAATGTTTGATTTGAGACTAGAGGGTCTGGTATTTGCAGGAGGGCTCTGAAAATGACATTGTGAAAATAGTTAGTGAAGGAACAATTGCTCTGGAGCTGACTTGCTTCTTGATGGGAGACATCAGTAAAGTAAATCGTCAAATCTCCCCACTCCCATGCGTTTCAGGTAATCTTTTGGTCATGTTGATGCTACTGAGAACAGAATAATACGTCCTACACGTGAAAAATAGGCTGTTTTCCCTTAGTAAAAATTCCTACCCTGTGAGAGGAAACTAACAGAAGGTAAAGAAAGTCAAGAAATCAGAAAGTGTCCACCCCACGTGGATTCACCGTCAGGCCAAGTAGCTGAAGGGCTTATAGTGACAAACGACCTTTATAAACGGAAGCGGGAGGGTATCTGGGCGAAGGACAGCGTGAAACGGAGACTGAACGCCTTCGGGACCTCGGTGTGGTGCACGAATCCAGTCACATGTCTGCTGCCCAGAGGACTAGTGCCCCCCAGTGTTCTCGGGGACCCTCTCGCAACGCTCCTCATTGCAAACTGTAAACAGGGCCGTGCAGGGCAGGAAGCGGCCGAAAGCAACCTGTGGGGCTGGGCCACCCCTTAGGACATCCACCCTCCGTAACGGACACGCTGTTCAGCGGTACTGGGCTGGGATTCGTTCCATGAAGAATCGAGGTTGCCCGGCCCATGTGGCTCAGCGGTTAGAGCCTCTGCCTGCACAGCGAAGGGCTGTGGGTTCAATTTCCGGTCAAGGGCACGTACCTGGGTTGCAGGCTCGATCCCCGGCGTGGGCTGGGTGCGTGCAGGAGGCAACCAATCGAGGTGTCTCTCTCACATCAATGTTTCTCTCCCTCCCTCCCT